AATACTGGTAGGTGCTCAATTAGCTTTGGCCCCGGTTGGTGTGATATGGAGACCATAGCTCTTGAATTTAACCCATCCTTTGGCTTCTAGAACCATTTATTAGGTTGTTGGCAGGAAAAGTTTTGTAGTAATTCCTGGTTTGGGGAGACATAAGCCTCTGTTCTCCCCGGTGTATTAGGCAACAAACCTAATGTTACTGATCGTATAACTGACATGGGAGGGACACTCGATGTCTTGCTCTTACTTCATTTTCTGTAAATGGACTAATAGGAGTCTCAGCTCAGAGTGTTGTTCTGAGGATTCAATGAGTTAATATTAGTAAAATGCTAGGAACGGAGCCTGGGCCCGGCCGGCGTGGGCTCAGTGGTTGAGCGTCGACCTATGAACCAGGAGGTCACGTTTGATTCCTGGTCAGGACACATGCCCAGGTTGTGGGTTCCATCCGCACTGTGGGGCATGCAGGAGGCAGCTGATCCACGATTCTCTCATGATTGATGTTTCTCTCTCTCTCTCCCTCTCTGAAATCAATAGACATATATACATTTTTTAAAAGAACAGAGATTGGAACACAACCCTAAGCACCAAGTAAGTGAATCCTGTGTTAACTCTTGCAGAAGTGACATCTGCTATAATACTGGTAGAGCTTAGAATCTTGTTGGTGAATGTCATTGGCTATTGCATTGCCAGCAGACAGTTTGGTGAAACCTCACTCATTTCGAATTAGTTCACAGATTACTAAGCCTGAATCAGCTAAAATTCTGAAATCATGAATCTTTGTCATTATTTGAAATGGTATTTTATATTTGACTGTTCTATTCATGAAACGTTGTGTCATATTGGACTGTTTTCAAGACACACACGTTCTGTCTGTGATTTTGTATACTTAATTGGGACAAAATAAAAGCTAATAAAAGTTTTGATATGAGCCTTGGCCAGTGTGGCTCAGCTGGTTGAGTGTCGTCCCAAAATGTTGCCGGTTCCATTCCTAGTCAGGGCACATGCCTGGGTTGCAGGCTGGGGCATGGCCAATGGATGTTTCTCTCTCCTATAGATGTTTCTCTCTCTCTCTCTCTCTCTCTCTCTCTCTCTCTCTCTCTCTTTCTTGGGCATGGCCAATGGATGTTTCTCTCTCATATAGATGTTTCTCTCTCTCTCTCTCTCTCTCTCTCTCTCTCTCTCTCTCTCCTTTTCTCTCTCTCTCTCTCTTTCACACACACACACACACACACACACACACACACAGACAGCGTGCCTTGATATAGACATTTATTCTTTTAAGTAGCTATCAATGAAGATATATGAAAAGAGCAAAGGGATATAAATACAATTGTTTGCACATCTTAGACTTCAGTACTAATTTTTAAAGAAATTCTTGGGCTACTTTTAATATCTACAATGACTAAACTTAGAAAAGTCAAGTGTTTGTGAATGAGTGTTCCCTAGTAAAGTCCTGCCCTTGAGAATAGTTGAGAATCATTTATAATTACTATAAAAAGGAGGCCTAACTAGTGTTAGATTTTACTTATATTGGCATTATACTCTATGTAATTAATGTGTATCAAAAATGTTTTAAAAGTTGACTTTCCTTAAGCAACTTTCAATAATTTCTGGGTTAATTTTCTTGGAATCTCGGTTAGTACAAAGGGCAGAGCTAGAAATTCCTTTTTCTTTGTTATCGATCCCTTTCATAGGGCACTTCCTCCGAACTCTAGATTGTAATTCTTTTTTTTAATTTTAATATATTTTATTTTTTACAGAGAGGAAGGAAAATGTCAAGGATGAGAGAGAATCATTGATTGGCTGACACCTGCACACCCCCTACTGGGGATCTAGCCCTCAACCTGGGCACCTGCCCTTGACCAGAATCGAACCCGGGACCCTTTGGTTCCCAGGCTAACGCTCTATCCACTGAGCCAAACCGGGTTATACAGCAGATTTTAATGACAGTTTGCAATTCTGTATTGTTGATGAAGAGCTTTTATGTTTTTGGATTCAGGCTATTTTTTTAAAAAAAAAATTCTACGAAGTGGTGTATAATAATTTCTTTTTTTGTTTTTAATTGATGTCAGAGACAAAGGGACAAGGAGAGAGAGATAAAAACATCAATGATGAGAGAGAGTCATTGATTGGCAGCCTCCTGCACGCCCCACTCTGGGGATCGAGCTTGCAACCAGGGCATGTACCCTGATCAGAATTGAACCGAGACCTCCTGGTTCATAGATCAATACTCAATCACTGAGACATGCCAACCAGGCTATAATAATTTCTTATATTCTTCAGGCTTTGCCCTACACCTTTCAGCTCTTCTGTTTTAAGTGTGGCAGGCTCTCATCTCATATGGGCCGCTGAAATTATTTGTGGTCTATTTACACGATACACAAGGCTAGCACAGCACTGCCCACATCAGCTGGTGTTTCCACACTGGACTGGATGTCTTCTGGGTGCCTGTAGTAATAACCACTTCATTTGTGTGACAAGGACAGTCTGGCATGTATTAAATAAAGCTCTGGGAAAGTTGGATACACATCTGAGGTGGATCCAACCTTGTAAACTTGTAAACTTTTCTTTAGAAAAAGTTGGATTTCAGTTTGGTCTGGAATTTGAAGCTGTGAGTATCTTACTTATCTCAGTCTCCCAGGGACTAAGCTCATTGGAATTGCTATCCTCTTCCACCGGGTAGCATCCCTAGAATACTGTTTATTTATACAGCAGATTTTTTAAAAAGTAAGGCTCTTTTTTAAAAAAATTTTTTTATTGATTTCAGAAATGAAGGGAGAAAGAGAGAGAGAGAGAGAGAAGCATCAATGCTGAGAGAGGTCAAGGATAAGAGAGAATCATTGATTGGCTGACTCCTGCACGCCCCACTCTGGGGATCGAGCTTGCAACCAGGGCATGTACCCTGATCAGAATTGAACCGAGACCTCCTGGTTCATAGATCAATACTCAATCACTGAGACATGCCAACCAGGCTATAATAATTTCTTATATTCTTCAGGCTTTGCCCTACACCTTTCAGCTCTTCTGTTTTAAGTGTGGCAGGCTCTCATCTCATATGGGCCGCTGAAGTTATTTGTGGTCTATTTACACAATACACAAGGCTAGCACAGCACTGCCCACATCAGCTGGTGTTCAGTCAAGTTTTGGAAAATCCAAAATCATGGCCCTTTTTATTCTTAAAATAAACGGCAGGCGGAAAAAAAAACACCCTTGGCTTATGTTGGTAAGGTTTGAGTGCTCTGTAAAATAAAAAATGACACTCATCAATATAGCACAGATTCTATTAAGTGATTAAAAATTTGTTTTTAATCGTGAAGGTAGTGATGCTTGCTCATTTATCACCCAAACCCAACCCGCAGGAGTGATTCCATCAGATTGAATTTAATTCCTTGAACCTGGATATTGGAATGAGCATTGATGACTTTTAAGTCGGTAGCTAAATATTTTTTCGCGAGGTTTCAAACTTGGCAGGATTTTACAGGATTTGAAAATGGAAAAAAAAAATCAAATGTCAATACCTTCAAATGGCCAAACCCGGCACGAGGGCTTGGATGAACACCGCCGCAATACTCATTTTTGTCTGCTGTCATTTCAGACCTTGTTGAGACAGGGGCTGCGCTGGTGTCATGGAAAAAAACAGCTTTGGAATCTGACAGTCGATCGCCTGGAGCCGGTCCCAGTCCAGCGCGACAGCGGCCGAGTGAGATACTTGACTTCTCTGGATTTCCGTTTCCTCCGATGCACAACCAGGGCTGCGGCAGACACGGTGCAACCGCGTCCGGAGAGCGCCGACAACACACCGGAGG